GGTAAACACTCGACCAGGTGTCGCTGTTTAAACGTGTCGGGCAAAGGCCCACTCCGACCAATATTAACTCCCTACTTGAGCTCGAACATACAAGAGGTGCAGTGGCCAGATCCTAATCTAAACCCTGTAAGTAGGGATCAGGGGAAGGGAGCGGTCATTAAAGACATGTTCCTGTTTGCAAACAGACCTCCCGGTCCATTGTAGGCCCTTGCTCGGTGATTTCAATGGCCCTAAGTCCGCTTGTGATTGTAAAGACTCTCTCGCTCCAGGGACTATTTAATCAATTTGGGAACAAAGAAGGTCTCAAAACAAGCACAACAATATAGACTACGGCCCTCTGTTGCGCAAAGGATTAAGGGGAACCAACCGGCCGTGAAATAGGCCCTTTTGTGCCCCATTTCCCTGGTGTTGCTTGTGCAGATGTCCCCCCTCCCGATATACAACAATTAGACCTGTGCTTGTCACTTCTTCCCACTCGGCTTCTCTCTATTTGTTAACGGACGTGTTGTGCTGCTACAGTAACAGTAAATAAACCTTTATATATCAATGGTGTTAAGAAACGGATACTTGCCTCTATTTTCTTTGCACCGCGTTGCTTTATAGGCCTATATAGGGCCTGGTTTGGGTTGTAATTCTCTCTAAAGACTGTCCTATGTGGTTTTATTGAAGGATGTCAAAAGTATAAGATATATTTATGTAAGTCCATTAATCGTTTTATTTATTTATTTTTTTTTAGCCAGCATAAATATAGTAAGTATACAGTTTTTATAGTGGAGTAATAGTAATAAACTTTAATGCTATTGTTTAAAAGCGAAGCATTAAAGTTTAAAATTCTCAATAGAGATTCCTAATTCATCAGTAATTATGTTATTTGCTATTCATAATTTACTCTTAAAAGAATATCAAGATGCCAAAATAACAGATTTTAATTTATTAAAAGCGAAGAAAGCTCAATTTGCTATTTAGAAGGCAATCGATGGAGAGGCAAAGCAAAGAGGAGAAGAGCGTTTGGTTTTGCCACTAATTAGTCATTGTCGGTGCCGCTGAACTTCTTGCAGCCAGATAAAGCGTAATTAGACAGAGAGTAGTAATTCTGGAACAATTTCCTGCTTAATTAAAATTTTTGTTTGTTTGGTTGTGCAGAAGTGCAAACTAATTCCTGCGCCGCCTGGTTCTGTTTGGAAACACTGACCCAATATTTGTTTTTTGATGTCTGCCAAGGAGGAAGTGTCCGACTCTGGTTATTAGCACCTCACTCACTGCTTCCCAATATTGCAGTGCCCCAGGGCCTTCTTCTGTCTCTCTCTCCCTGGCTTCTCTGCCAAAAAGTGTTATTCTAATTCTGTTCTAATCTCCTCTTTGTTTTGCACGTCTACGACAACAATTGCTCTTCCTCTTCATCTCACTCGTTTCAATTTAAACGGTTTCTGGGGGTGGTCATTCCGTTTTATAAACTTACGCATTGTATTAGTATGGGAGCTGAATTTTCTGTCTGACACATTTTCCCGTTTGTCTCTGTTATACGCATTTTCCATCACTTCTCTTCTCCCCGCATTCTTCGACCTTTCCACAGCCGCCACACATTTTCTCTCCTTATCCCTCCTCAAACACATTCATCCTCTCTTCTATTTTTTCTATTTCTTTCTTCTTCTACCCGTGTCTAAACTTTACCAACTCCTTCTCTAGTAAGTCTTTCGAAGAAGTTTAATATAATTTTTCAGATTTCACTAACTCCTTTTTTTTATAGAAAAGATAAGGAAAGATCTTGGAATCCTTCGACAAGGATTGCTCCGATATATTCTAAATGATCGTCTAGCTTCGTTTCATCTCAAAGCTTATAAAATGGAATCGAAAATGGAAAATTTTTATAGGGAAAAAATGAAATGGAGTATAAATATGAAGAAGCTAAAGTTTATTTTCCAAAAGTTGCGTCAGGATGCAGAATATATGTAAATAAGAGCAACAAGAAATCAAACATGGCGCAACATCATCCATAGCCGGAGGCCATTTATCTAGTGTGTGGAAGAAAGCATTTCTGAGTTCGTACAATACCGACAATGGAGTAGTTGCACCTCCTCCTTTATGGGGGACCCGCCGTTCAAGTGGTCTCTCTTCTAATCAGAAGGGAGGCCATATTAGCCCAACTAATACACCAATTTGAGAAGAAGAGCTTCCCTCCTTTTTGGACCCCCTGAGGAACAATTTCGGGCACTCCTTTCTACATTGGAGGTCCAGTAGAAGCAAAGTAACTCAATCAACCCGGGATATATTGCGACTCACTCCATAAACCTATCTGCGACATAATGGGATAAGTAATAAGGGTAGAAAGTGCAGTGGGCCGAACAAATAACCTCGGAAGCTTTTTTACCAGGATTTATCTTAAATTACGCTTTGTTAACTATTATGCTATTTATCGTGAGCACAAACTGTAATTGTACAGATTGCAATATAGAAAATACATTCGAGTTTTAATAGTGAAAGATGAGCAAAGAGCAAAGAGCAAATCTTAGTAATATGCTAATGTCTAAAGATTGTATTTAAGAAAGTTACAATCTTAATTTATATTCTCGCGAATTTTATAATTAACGAAATTAATTATAAAATTGTAAAATTACTAAACATAGCTTGAAAAGCAGGTAAAAACTTTCACACATCTTATCACTTCAGGCAAAAAAGTCCATTTCATTTATTGTTTCTGTTGAAATGAAATTATAGTTACGGAGAAGTATTAACAGGAAAGACGCCTGAGTGTAAGAGAACTCTGCTCAACACAATGTCTACGTTAAGAAAACTCTCAGGCTCATTGCGATAAGAAAATAAACAGGATCCAATTGGCTGCATTTCTCTAAACACTGCTGGATTTTAGTAAGAGACGATTGCGACACTTCTCGGTCAAAGGCCGATTGTCATTCACTCTCTCTCTCTTTCTTTTTCTCTTCGGAATATCAAAGTTTCTTCTGTCCAAAATATCAGAATAATCAGGAAAAAAATGAAGATATGTTGATAAACTTTCGCTTATCAAAATACCACAAGATTGTATGAAAAGAGAAGGCGAGAAAACAATTATTTTCAACCTGCTTCTTTCTAAATATAAGTTAATTTTCACTTAAATAAAAGAATTCTTTTTGAAAAAACATATGCGTATTAGCCGAACCTCTTCGCACTTACAGGTCTTAATTATTTGGAAGATGTAGATTAGTGTAATTTACAGTACCTATATCGATGATGAAAATGATCTATTCTCAATCATCATAACTTATTTTTAAACTCTTTATCACAATAATAATATACTCCAAATAGTAATAGTTTACTTCCATATATTTCCGATAGTTTATGAATTCATTCTTTTCATAATTGCAATGAAAACTAATTAGGAAAACGCATGAGAAACCTATATAAAAATCTGATTAAAAAAAAAACGAGGCGCTTGTATAAAACCGAATATAGTTAGAGGAGAGAGGAGAGCCGATAAAAGGAGAAAAGGAAAGAAACGTGCAAGCGACATCGCTTCTCCTGTTCGGGAGGAGAAAGAGAAAGATAGAGAAGGAAAGAGAGAGCGAGAGAGAAGACAGGAATTCGGTTCGGCCCCGTGTTAGTGCTGGCAACGTAATTATTTATTTAGTTTTTTGGCGAAGAAGAGACCGCATACCGTCCATTGTCCACTTTGCTTATATTTATCTTCAGCTATGCGGTCTTTGAGGCGGAGAAGGGCACTTTATTAAGAATACCTGAGCCGCTCGCTCCCTTCTTCCCGGCGATTGCTATTGTGGTGGAGACAGTCAATCGGGCCATTCAAGAGATTTTCTGCTCCGACTGGCCCTCTATAGACCTGCATTACGGGGATTAAGGAGAATGGCCGACCTCCTAACTGCATTCATGACACTAATAGGAGGGCTTTGTCGTGTCATTAAGGAGGGCCATGCCTTCCCACGATGTCGTGGTGCAGCCCTGCTCAATGTCATTATGCACTGTGAAATCTTCCGAGTCTTATTTTTCTTCATCTTCTTATTCTTTGCAAATTTCAAGACTTATGAAATTTGGTTTATCGAGCCATTCGAAATTGTCTTATAATACCGAAAATTCAATTCCTTTTCTCATCGTGTTTTCCATTTAATTCAGATTAGGAATTTTAATTACCTTATTCACTATGAAGATGCTTATTTAAGGAAAATCAATTCAATACTAAACCGATCTTGATTAAAATTTCTCTTGGACCTACGTGGAATTATTATACATTCTCTCGAAACAAATCTTTCTACATGACTAAAATTAAGGCCTAGAGTAATCTTGATTCGAATTTAAAAAAAGGTTTTTTTTAACATTTAATCAATAGCAGCTATCGGACTTTAATTTAATTAAACCAATTATACTATTCAAAATAATAGATTATCAAGTTAATTCTTCGTTAAAATAAAATAACATGTTATTTTAAAAGTAGGAAAAAAAAAGTAAATTTAACGGCAATCGTTGCTATAAATTCTCTAATTTCATGAATGAAATAGGTAAACATTTAAAAGGTTTTTCTTATGGTCTTACGGCTAGCTATTTAGGATTACAGAGACATTTCAAGAGTGAAACATTGGTAATTTCGATAGTTAAATAAGTTAAATTTTAATAGAATATATCGAAAATTGGCACATTGAAATAAATAGGCTGTTAATAATCTGTAAAGCAGTTATAGATAAGAAATAGTTTAAATCTCGAACTTCTAAAGCAGTCTCTTCACTGCCGAGATAATTTTAAATAGCTTCTAAATCAATACTATCGCTGCAATTTCGATAAAATATGTTTATAAAACTATAAAGTCAAACTTATTTTTTCATTTCTAAATACAATTATTTTCTTCGTAAGGACGAAAATTTCAGATCTCAACTGAAAATTGCGTAGAGAAAATGGAAAAGTAAGTATCAAATAGAACATTTTAAAAGGTTTAAATCTATTTTTTAAGTTTATTTTAATTAGATTAAAAATACTGCTTTAAAAAGCTTAAATTTAAGAGTTACCTCCAACTTAAATAAATATGTTATATAAATCTATGATAATAATAAATATGTAATAAGGAAATGAGATATTTTGGTTAGCAACAAGGAAAAAGACGGGAATATTATCTACTTGTCAAAATGGACTTTAACCGGGGAATCCGGAAAAGGTAGGTTTGTACGTGTATAAAGAATTGGAAAATAAAAGATTTGTTAGATATTCGGCAAAAACACAATTGCGAGCAGCTCATCTTTAGTCTTAATTAGAAAAAGAGGTCGGTTCGGTACGGGGGACTTAAAACAAAAGAGTGCGACGCGGCCGAAGCGAGCCTGACACGCGCGAACACGGCAACTACAAGGCAGACAAGAACAATACCTTTCAGCAGCGACGCCTCCCGCTCCGCCCTGCTTCACGCTTTGCTTGACAGACACGTCACGCAGCCAGCGCACTCAATTAATAATTCCTGGAGGGCGGACGGTCGGCCGCTCGGCCCCTTTGTTGGCTGAATCTGGCGCTGGCTCCACCTCCGTCACGTGATAGCGGCCGATTGCCATTGGCGCAGCTCTTCCCCTCGGAGGAGAGGTAAAGTTGGGAGTCGGGTTTTGTTTTCTCTAACAACGTGATGCAGTGACGAAAACGTGAGAAAACGTGTTGGTTGTCGTTGTCGCGTTTACGTTAAGTCAGGACAGCAGGCCGGAGGGGCCGCAGTCTCCAGTCCCACCCCTGCCTAGCAGAGTGCTGGATGTCCGGCCAGTAGCAGTGTCGGCCATGGAAGCACTGCAGCAAGTAGCCATCTGCTCGCAGCAGTCGTCTGTCTCCTCTTCCTCCAGGAACGACTCGACGCAGTCCGAATGCGGCCACGAATTGCTGTCGGTCGAATCGGACGAAGACTGTCAAGATCTCAGCAAATCGTTCAAAGGCGAGGAAGGCAAACCCAAAAACCAACTGGTCAAGCCTCCCTATTCTTACATCGCCCTCATCACTATGGCCATCCTGCAATCGCCCGAAAAGAAGTTAACCTTAAGCGGTATCTGCGAGTTCATCAAAAATCGTTTTCCCTTCTATCGGGAAAAGTACCCTTTGTGGCAGAACAGCATCCGCCACAATCTGTCTCTTAACGACTGCTTCATCAAAATTCCTCGAGAGCCCGGCAACCCGGGCAAGGGTAACTACTGGACTCTGGACCCGGCCAGCGAGGATATGTTCGACAACGGAAGTTTCCTGCGTCGACGCAAGAGGTACAAGAGACAGCAACCCGACCCACTCAAGGATCCTTCGGCCTTCATGGCCACCATGGACGCCTATCGGCACCCGCACGGTTTGTACGCGGGTCCTCACTCACCTTTCGCCCTGGCCGGCACCTACCCTTACGTCTCCACGCTGCCACCACCCATTCCATTTCTGTCGCCTCAGGACCTGGCTCGAGCTTCTCTTCATCCCGTGGCTCTAACGCTGCCGGCGCCCCTGGCCACTCCGGTGGTGCAACACCCGGTGGCACACGCCAGCGACAAACACGTCAAGTCCAACTTCACCATCGACAGGCTGATCGGTGACAAGGTGACGGACTCCAAGCCGGACTCGGGGCGTTCCGTGCCCTCGGCTACCGCCTCTCTGTTGAGTCTTTCCAGGACCGTGGCCGATGCCACCTTCTCCTGCCCAGCCGTCAGTTTGGACAAGTACAGACAATACCTACAGACGCTGGACGCCGCTTCTTCCTGGCCCCGATGACACAGTGAGTTCTCTCTTATGTACATAGAGGACACGGTTTTAGGGCCCACTCCGTCATAATTCCAATTCCGGTTTATTATTTATTATGCAAAAGTAAAGATCGGGTAGAGACGGTTGCGTTCGTGCCCAGCACTTTCCAGTTTGTGTCGTCCCGTGACGTTAAAAGAACGGATGGTCCTGCGGGCCTTCTGGTCCCGCATGTACTAATAGAGAAAAAGAGATGTTTGCGGAAGCAACCCAAATGTAAATAAGGATAGAAATAAATGTGTACATTGGCTATTTTGGTGTGTTGGACGTTGTTATGGCAACCGTGCCCTCAGTGTCCACTAATCTCTGCACTCTCTCACATCTCGATTTTTTAAAAACCGCGTTCAATCAGGTATTTAATATATATATTTTTTCAAATTTAACCCTTAGACTTTAAGATAAAGCCAGTTATTCTTCGCTTGCGAGTAACATAAGACTTACTAGTGCTGAACTAGTTAAGCGCTCCAACTTTACTTGGCCTAAACAGCTATATGCCATACAAATAATTCTTGACCAATAAAAATTCTAGAATGACGACAATCGTCCAATTGTCAATTTCGCATCGCCACGTAGAAAATAGGTGTTGAATACTAATTGACGAGTTGTTATGTCTTAGATCTCGATCACAAGGACTAACCAAGTCAAGGTGTAGAATTCAATTTACTGTTATATCTTATTGAGTTGGTATGTTATTAAATGGGTCTACTTAGATCACATTGGTCTGGCACGAGACTCTAGAAACGTAAATTTACTCCGAAAGAATTAATTCATAAAATGTTTGGCCGAAGTTCGGAGAAATGAAAATATTTAGAAATTCAGAATGGCGCGTATCTTTGGAAAAAAGCCTTAAAGAGTGTCAAAAAGCCTAATCATCGAGTCGGAGTCGCAAATATGAGGAGGGACCTGAGTGACTTATCGGTGTCACCTAGTTTGTCACCTCGACAACGTCGAGACAATCGGCTCTGCTTCTTCGTCATTATAAATCAACGTCATCCTGTCTAAACTGCGAAGAAGAGAATTGGAGAAGCGGCCTTTCTCTTGTCAAATTCGCTCGGCTCGATACTTGGCTCGCCTGCACTTTTGTAAATATAGATGCGCTGTATTTTCCATTTGCCTATTCTGCAAACATTAACACGGCTGATTTACATCTGTCGTCGGAATTCCCCTCCATTTAGGGCCTTTTTCCCCTTCCTCTTATGTAAATACGGGGCTGTCCATTATACCAAGTGCCATCGTCTTTTTTTTCGGGCCCGCTTATTTCATGCTTACATCTTACATGCTTAATGCTACATGACTATGGAATTGTTTCTTCTCTATCTCCAGTAATTAGCTAGACTTTTCAAACTAAATTTCTATCGTGTCTCTGGCTTACTTACAAGTAAATGAAATCGCTTCACTAATTTCTCTCTTCCACTTCTTTCTCTGGTTAAGTTTTTATTCAAAATTTCTATTTTTTTTTCCATAATTCTTATTTTCTTCACTTCTATTTCTTTAAAATTAACGTGAAGTCTACTTAAAGGCTATACAGGCTACACAATAATCGCATAATCTCGCAATTTGACATGGTAAATGATTATCATTGTAATAAATTAATCCTGACTATTGTTAAGTTTAATTAATTTTACCTCCAAAATCTACAATGCTTTGACAGTAGCTTATTTAGATCAGTTAATATAATTACGTATAATACTGTATACAAAGACTATAGATATATTATCAACATTTACCTTCTGAAATGATTCTATAGACTAAATACTCTTCCTTTTACGTTTAAACTTGAAAATCAGTCTATAAGTTTGTGATTCTCTAAGTTTAAGAACTTCATTAGATACAAATTTACAAGATAACATATACTTTACTTAAAGTATTGATAGTTATTTTATTTATGTTTTAATCAAAGCCGTCATTGAATAAAAATATTTATAAGGCCTAAGTTAAATCAGTATCGATGATGGAAAACTCGTTAGTTCCATAAATCTATGCAGTAAAAGGATGTACGAGATGTTCGTGCTTGGTATCTGCTAATAATTTTACGTCGTTAAAGGGTCTGTTTGTCTTCCGATTGTGTCCTTTTGTTTAGCCTTTAATAACCTGACATCGGCTGATGAAGCCTGGGGCGCTCGGCGGATATATTAATAAGATCGAGCGACCCTTTTAACATTAAATAACCCTCGAATCATTACAGGTTTTCGTTCTAAATGCTATACGATTCGGATTTTCTCCCTATTTAAGGTTAATTTAGAGTTCTAAAAATGACAGGCTAGACATTTTAAAAGAGAATTAACATTTTCAATACAAAACTAATAATGTTATAGCAGGATAAATTCTAATCTACCTTCAATTTTGCTTAATTTATTAACTTGGAAGGATTTTATTTTCCATTCTGTGAAGTTACACTTGTTATAAATTTGTAATCTTGGTTCGTAATTATTCGTGCAAGGCTCATGTTAAACCTCGCATAATAAAATAATAATGTAAACGATTGGTTTTCTGTGTCGAATCTGAATTGACTTAAGAGTAATAAGGCGCGGCAATCTCGAATGACCAATCAATCAATAGTTATAGAAAATAATGTGAGCCTTTCCAAGCATTTCTAACATAGTTGACCCCCGATAATTAACATACCCACCCTTCTATTTATCAAAGAAGACTTGTTCGAATCAGTCGAAGGGTTCAGAGGGCTATTCCGAGAAGTCATGCCCTAATTACTGTTCTTTGACCTTTCACCTCAGATCCATCATCGAGATCATCTCGAATTTACTTAGTCGGGGAATTCTTGCTGATACTAATGACATTTTCTGACCGGAATTAATATCCGACATTAAACAGATATTCCGATTCCAGAGGAATGCAAATCTTTAATAACCAATTTGATTATCACAATGAATTTAAACTCCTTCTTCGTATATTCTGTAGATAAATAATTGTGGAATGATCGAAACCAATTCGAAGAATATGACTTTACAAACGTAGGCCTTCATCACTTTATTAATTGTCAAACAAATTTAAGTCGGAATTGAATCTTTTAACTGGGCATTAATTGATTGAAGATTTAGATTTAGTTTCAACGTCGATTTATGTTTAATGGAGATTAAAATAATGCTTCACGAACCAAAAAGACTTTGCTTATCCTTTTATCCTTTACTAACTTAAGAATTACGACAATTATGAAGTCTTTTTATAAAATCTGGAGATGTACTTAATACGAAAATCTTTATAGAAGGACAAAAAAGTAATTATAGGCCTATTTGTTGAAGATTTCCAAGTATATAATCATCAGCCTCAAATTGTTTGGATTAGTTATTCGGTTAGTTTTCTAGAATCTAAACGTAGGCCTGTAATACGCGAATTTCGATGTAGGCCTGTATATATTGAAATCGAAACGGCATCCGTTTTAAAATAATTCAGAGAAGAGGCATAACAATTGTAGAAGTGAATTATTTACTCGGAGGGCTTCGATGACAAAAGTTCGCTTGTCGGAGGCGACAGATCTTCTTTCATTAGCCAATTGAACACGATGGCCCTTCAATTGCACACTTATTCATCATCTTCCTCTAAAATCGCTCTCGTCACTTTCTTGCTTCGTTCTAAACTCGCCTTTTCCTTAAAAACTAACATATAGCCTACATATTAAGTTGATGTATTCAAAGGGATGCATCAAACAGTTCTACCTAGAATAGTGGTTTTGATAAGATTTCTATCTTTTTTATAGCTATTTCGGTGCTTCGGGCAACGACGACAACCATAGACAGCAATAGCTAATTTATTTCAGTGGTTTCTGAATTGAAAACTCAGACATTATATCCGTCATATAGTTTCATCTATATCTATCAAAAGAATTCTAAAGAAATAAGAATTACGCCATTTAAGTAGCCTCCATCATTCTACGAGCGACTAAAGGGTTAATGCTATACGAACAATAAGTCCAGACGGTTTTTTGGGACCATTCTGGATATAAATGCATTAGTCCTTCCATCTACAGAAACGATCAACAATGAGATCCACAAATGATTCGTAAGAGGATTAAGTCGCTATTATTTAATAATTTATCTTGATAATGGTGTTAGTTTGATGAGACCGATAACATCTGCCATTAAAAGGAAAAGGCTCGGTTGTAGGAGAAGATCCAGACAAAGCTTAGAATAGTAAGGCTCTATAATAGAAGATCCGATGCAGCAGATACTTTTTGATATGTGAACGACATCCTTGGACGGTAGTGTCAATGGGCTAGTAGGAACAACCTAATGGTAAACCGGAACCCTATCGCAGTATCGAGTTATTTAAGATGGAAATTGGAGTGTTTACAATGCAGACGATCCGTCCAGGCAAGCTGACGACGTAATTACGGAAGACCGCAGGCTGCAGCCCTGGCCTGCACGTGAAAGGCAGCTTAGAGGAAGACTAACTTTGCAGAGTAATTGAATGCAGATTAAAAGAGGCTTAATTCCCCGTGTAAACACGGGAAAAAATTAGTTGCCAGCTGGCACCGTCGCTCCCGGCGTTCAATTAGAGTTATTGTTGTTATTTAAAGTTATTGCTGGTCCGACTGTGCTTCTATCACGCTCTTACTCTCTTCCCATGAATCCTTTACTTACGTAAAACGCGTAATTTGTGTTTTACCTTCGTCTTCTTTATCAATTGAAGGTTGTAATGCACACGCGACTCTTAGATCCATTTCGATTTCGAAATTAGTCCATTCTAGCGTCGTATTAGAATATAGAATGGACTGATTACGATGTTAACTGTTCAGAAACCAGAAAAACCAAAAGTGATCTTCGTCCGAAACCTTCGAATGCAATCCGACCGAAGCGAAACTGTACTAATTTATCCTAAATGTAACATTGATTGGTGCTGTCGATTGGCCCAGAGCGCTAGTTTAGAACCTCTGTCATTCTTCCCCGGTCTCCGATTGCTGTCTTCACGCTAATTTCCTCCCATTCTCCTCCTCCCTTAACCAAATAGCCTAACAATTATGAGTGAGAGGCTACTAAATCCCATTTAATTAGTTATCTCGTCTTTCAGTATCCGAGAGAAAACAGTTATTTTCCAAACGTGTTAAAGAAACTGTCATTCACCCTGGCAGTAAACCTTTGCTTTCTTCTGTTCAGGCCAAGTTTATGCCTATCTCCTACCGTATTGGGCCTAAATTAGAAGCCGAGTGCAATTCTCTCCGGTGAAAGAATTTCGCAAGATAAAATTAAAACAAAATCATCTATCTAAACATTTATTTTTACTACTGTAACAGTATCCAAAAGTTAAAAACCAGCAGTTAACGATCCTTCGATAGAAAAATTCAATATATTGTAACTAGTAAACTAAGTAATGTTTAAAAATAGAAACAGAAAAACCTAATATTCGAAAAGGCCAGTAACTTAATAATAATCCTTCGACTCAAAAGAGTAGTTATAGAAGGAGATACAGCCTATAGGCCGAAAAAATCGATGAATAGAGCGAAGCTAAATCAATTATTGAAAAGACAGAGTGCAGCTTCGGATCATCTGCATCTTTTATACTTGCATTCAGTTCCGTTGCATACGTTTTCAAAATTGCCAGTACGACGTGGCCTGTAGGCTCTGTATTTTCGTTTACGCTTTCTTCTAATTTAAAAGAAATAAACCAATCTCTTCCTTTAGTTAAACAATTACACACCCCGAAAACTATTAAATTCTATAACTTAAAACTATTTGATGAATTAGTTTTAGCCTATTGAATATCTCGTATAATTTATGTATTTATAAATTATATCTAGTGTTAATTTAATTTTAAATAATATAAAATTCTTCTAAAATAAAGCTTTAATAGTCGTAAATGGATGCAAATAGAAACCCGAAGTAAGCCTTTGTATAGAATATCGTGACTTTGTTCTTCCAATAGATCACTTTAGCTTAAGGAAATTAAATAATGTGATATAATACAGCTAATATTTGTTCTATATTAATAAACTTAAGTATATTGTAGTTATAATTTATATAAATTATAATTATAGATAAGTATAATAATCTAGATTTAAACGTCAACATAGATTTAGAGTAAAACGTTATCATAATACATTTATCGCAACATTTAGCCCTTTAATCGCTTCTCAAAATGATTTAAGGGATGAATATATTATCATAATTTTAAGCTAAAAGATTTTTTAATAAATTATTTAAACTTAATATAAAGATTTTACATAGATAATCGAAGTTAATCTATAAGTAAGGCCTACATTTAAAAGGATGTTAAAGACTTTCAAAATGGAAAATCGTAGGTTAATCTAAAGCCTTTCCCGAAATTAACTGGCCTTTACAATGTATTAATTTATAAATCACTGCTTTTTATACTATTTGTATTTTAACAATTGTAAATTTTCAGTAGACTCTGGCTTTAGAGAAAATACCGGAAAAAAAAAGAAAAATGTCTATAAAATTCTTATTTAATTCGACAAATATGCGAATTTGATACTTTTTGATAAATTTGATAGAATAATCGATTATTTTAGAAGAGCTTTAAACCAATTTATATAGGATAAAATCGAATGGAATCTAAACGTGCCTAAGGCACTTCAATAGAGTACTTTGTTATTATTAGCATATACATTTAGGCCTATTTTGAAGAAATGCGTAAATGAAATGAGATTTGAGTCTAATTTAAAAAAGAAAATAATGAGAAAAGTCGAAAGGATAATAAGAGAGAGAGAGAGAGAGAGGCCCGGGTAGGAGAGCGTTTCGGACCGAAAAGAGTCAGAGCTGCCATAGAAGAAGCAAAGCGAATGGAAGTGCACTCTCTGTTCGTATTTTCGGAATTGATTGCGGAAGACAAGCAGTGGAGAGGGTCAGATATTAAAATGCTCATATTAGAAGCGGGGGATGCCCCCTATCATTTCCATTCCGTTTGATGACGACATCGATGCTACCTAGGTAACATCTAAGTCCAATTTCGGTAGTCACGTGATATAGGAAGGAAGACGTTTCTCTTTGCAGTTTCTACTTGAGATAATATTTATCTTTCGGACTGGGATATTTTTGGTCATGGGCCTTTTTTGCGCTCTCTCTTAAGTAAAGTTTTGTCACCGTCGGGTTCCGGATACAACGTGTTTATGTAAGGCTGGTAATCTTACCGCCCTGGACTCGCCAAACTGGCGATAATCTACATTATTACAGTCTGTTACAAAATGTAGTTTTCTTTTCTTTCATTCGTCTAAATCAGCCAAACAAACAAAATCGGGACTAAAATTTACTTCGATAACTCGATTCCGGTGGAAAAAAACCCCTAAAAGATTTCAAAATAGAGGCCTTCCTCTGTATGCCACTGGATTTGTTTTATCTCTATCGTAATTATTCATAAACTAAATTTCTATTTGAAATAACTTATGTAAATTTTGTTTACGATTACCTTGGAAACTTTTAACCCGACAGATTCGCTATGCCACACGGATGAAGTCATTTTGAATTTACAAACTTTAAAAAAAATACATATTTTAATGGGGTTGGTTGATTGTCGTTGCTTCGGAGGGTGGTAAATATTGTGCGCGAGACATTGCCTATATTTTAAAATAAATAAATAAATATTAAAATTGAAAGAACCATTTTTACTAAATGTTTTTCAGTAAAGTTCTATGGAACGTTTAATCCCTTTTGAATTCGAGATGTTCCCGAAATGTATAAAATTAATAGAGATCTCTACAAAAATATTTGGTTAATATAATTAAAACTTATTTGACGGACAATTTACGAGAATTCTATCTTTTCTTTTTAAGAAAAAATCATTATTATAGTTAAAATAATTTTGTTTTAGGTCGAAAAGGTGTCATTCGAGATCGTCGCCCGTAGAGCAACCGAACGATTATTTCTAACAAGAAAACTGAATTAGTATCAACCCATTTATTATTTTTCATCTTAAAAGGAATTTATTATTATTTAAAAATTTTTACTCGGAAAAAAGATTTATTTTTTGGATACGCGATGCAACAAATTTGCGAATTGAGCGGAGAAAAAGTGAATGTAGAAGGATGTATAACGCAAGTATTTTTGGCAATTTTTATATTCCCGGATTCTCCTTCCTACCGAGGACTGCACGGAATCGCGAGGGAGAAATATTTCTTCGGCTTCTTCCATTCCACGAGCGTCTTTCCGGAATTCCAGCCGGTCACGTGAGGAGGCGGCAGAGAAGAAGACTCGATACTTTAATAAACGAACTAAATAAACACGCGCAGGGCGCAATTTGGATGTAACTCGATATGACGTAATCAGGGAGAAACTGGGTTCTTCGGTGGCCATTTGGGCCACGTGACCCGCAGCTCTCGTCTGATCGATGCACAACATTAGCGGCAGCGTCCATACATAATTGATGATGGGATGATGATTACCTCTCTCTTTCTGTGCCGAGACTATTTTTCGTCACGTGATCCACCTGGTTAGAATAATTCTTCTCCCTTCCATTTTGGAATTTCCCAATTTCCATCACAATATATTCCTTTTTCCCCCTTCTTCTTCTTCCCGTTCGAGAGCGCTACTCGTCCCCGATTGAAATAAGTTTGTAACTTTTCCTCTTTGTTTCTCGATATTGATTCCGTGTTTTTAAAATTCCATATCGCATTTTTCGGTTCCCCTTTCGGCTTCCCCTCATAACCAGACTCTACTACCCCCGGGCCTATTCCACGCCTTTAACCCGCGAAGGGGTCGGGAAGCGACCTCGAGCACCCCCTCTTCCCGATTTCGAGAGAGACAACCAATAAAAGAAGACACGCGAATAGTCATGTGACGTAAAAAGACAGAAAAATTGCTTTTTTATGTAAAGTCCTCGGGGCACCTAATGACGTAGACAACTTATCCTTTATGTAATTAACAGGATCGGAGTGGTGCTAGAGAAACGAAACAAAATAAGAGCAGAGATTTTGGGAATTTTTTCGGCACGAAAATCTCCGAGAGTGGAGCAAAAGAGTAGAACCTTGTATCAGAAGGGTTGTTGATGAAAAGCAGATTGTTATCCGCCTAAGAGATGTAACCCAAGCCCTCTCGCATCTGCATGCTGACATAGCAGCAAAAACAGACGGTTAAATAAATACGTGCCTTCCTCTGATCCTTCCGTCTTCCTAGTCACTTCCCCTTAGGTAAACACATTCGCGCCCTCCTTATCTGTCCGCCAGATTTATGGAGGACAGTTAATGATGCCGTCTGATTATCCGCAGACGCCCTCACCCTTTCTACGACATATTACGCCAACAGGTGGCACAATGCTGTACAGGCGGCACTTTCGCTTTCCCGAGTGCAGAAGTGGAAAGATGCTAATGGGAATTCCTGGAATGGTTGCCTTCCGCCACGTTATTAAAACGAACCTGCGGTGTGACGTGTCACCTAGCCTTACGAATTGTTACCTGCCTTTTGACTACCGGATATTCGGTGGTAACGGCGGACGAAGGGGGAAAAAGAAAGCGGAAACTCTCTTCGGCTCCTCTTTGAAGACAGGGTTCGGACCTCTACAGAAAAAAGGAAGGAGACAAAGAATTAATGAAGGAAAGAAAGAGTTAGGTTAGGACAACAAAGACAAATTTGTGGGTAAAGCCGACAAGACCGCACCCGAACCAATCTTACATCCAAATGACAGACAAAGAAGAGAAAAGCGTCCATGTCCGTCTGTTCCCGTGATTTGCAGCTTCTCCCTTTGTTGCCGGTTGCTATCTGGGGGGAGGCAACGGAGCAGTAATGAGGCCCTGGCTTTGGAATTTTCAATAATGGAAGGAAGCGGGCAGACGCGAAAGCTAATAAAAGGCTGGCATGCGACAACCGTTGGTTTTAGACAATATGCTTGCAGCAATATTTTGTCGCAGGAGGCGTCAATAGCTCGTTATAAACCGGAGAAGTGCCGACTGCCCCGATGCTCCAGAAACTTCTTTCGGCTGCATTAAGTCCAATCAGTCAAGCCAGGCGCGCGCCTCGACGCTTGACAGCAGGAATCTGCGCTCCCCAAATCGAATCAGTGGCAAAAAGGCAGCCAATCCTCGTTTGATTCTAGAAATTGAATACGTCTCTCTTCGTTTTCCAAATCTCTTCGCTCCAGCGCGCGACACCGTCGACGGCAGTAGCCCTGGAGGGCCGAGACTCTCTTCTCGGGCCCGTACAAATGTATATTTCGGCCATATTAACCTTACTAGTCACGTGGCATTGGGTCAGTTTTATCATGGACGAAGAAACAACACCGAATTACTTACCGCGTTGTTTAGCAGGCACATTGGCAGTAACCCATCACGTGACATTCGGGAGATTGATTTCTATCGATTGATACCAGACAAATCGATGAGGAATGCTTCACGCTTCGTCATCTATATCACCTGACTTGTCGGCAATTAAAATCGAAACATTTTCCACTACGCGGGATGCCGCTTGGACTCTCCAATGCTCTATTCAATCACGTCATCCAACGTCCTTCTAAAACAATCACGTGACAACGCAACCCCGTCACGTGACTCAATGGACACAACCCGGCCTTTTTCATTTGTTAATACAATTGCAATCAATAAAATTTGTTTTTCAAATTGTTTCAAATCCGCCATTTACGACGAATAAATAATTCGGCACGCGTGACGTTATAACTAAATCAACTTGTTATCCGTACACGTCACACTACACGACTCCATTTGCAATAAGGACGTATGAATTGAATTCCGGACATAAATATAAACCATTTTAATTTTTATATAAAGTAATTTAATATTAATATAACGAAGGAATTATTAAAAGATGTTTAATTATTGTGTGAAGAAATAAAAATCTATTGTAAATATACATTATAATGTTTTTTCAACCGAAAGAGATATTTATTAGTTTTAAATGTCATTCGTTATATGTTTAAAAATCTTGTATAAATAAGTCGAAATTTATGTTATTTGTATTCACTATCCAAACTTTCGGTTAAATTAAACATGGCATGTTCTACGTCGTTCGGCTTACTCGCTTCTTACATAAATTATAATATCTGTACAGGAAAAAAAAACACTTTTGTTTTTAATTTTAATCAAAAAATTAATTTGTAATTAATGAAAATTAAAAGTCTTTTTAATATATGTTTACTTTTATTTTAAAATATATATATTTATTTCAACTGTGGCGCCATCTAATGTCAAATTAAATAACTAATCGTTAAAATTAAAATATTTTCTTAAAATGTCGTAATTGTTAGCAGTTGAAACACAACAGAATTTTTTCGAGACTTATGTTTGAAAATACAAAAAAAAGAAACATAAGAAAAAAAAATGTGTGCGCTCCTTGAAATTATTTTATATAATTAAAAACGTCACAATAACTGTATTGTATTTCTCCAGATGTGTGTCAGTTTATTTTGATAACAAATTCTAACAGTAATTAACTTTTTGTGATTAAATATCGAATAAAATATTTTAATATCATTCAACAATATTTTCATTCAAAGTTAACATAAAACATTTACAAGTTGTTTATTAATTATAAAAAAAGAAAAGAAATTAAATTCTACCCATTAGAACTTTTTTTATTATTGTATTATCTTGTTATTAGTAATAATTGTTTAGAACTTTTATGTAAATTAAGTAAAAAAATTTGTTTAAGATTGTTTATGAAACACATACACGTGCGTGCCTATAGTGTGTATTTCGTCTATAATTAATTGATTTTTCAGTTACTCCAGCGCCATTTTGGTGCGATATAATAACTCATTTTACGTAATTTGTCATAATAAATAATTCGTTACAGTAAAAATCTTATATAATAATTGTTCGTGTGAAATTATTATTAATTTTTTATTTAAAACAATGAAAAATTTTTAATTGTCATATCAAAAGAAATTTTCATAGCTAAATGATATAATATTAAATATTTTTTCGTGTTCGACGGTAATAAAAATATTGATATATTTCGTGTAAGATTATAAAAAAGAACAAAATATCTACAAATATATACTTGCAAATTGATTAACAACAGATTCTTTTAAAGGCATAAATATTAATGCAACGGCTATGTGCGGCACATCATAGTTTTTTTTTATGTTAAGGCTTTCTTAGTCGAATCATTAGAATTACATAAGGCTATTTGAATGAAATCCTCCGCGTTTTAGTTTGTAAAAGTCCGGTAATTCGTCGTGAAAGTCTACTGTATGCTACAGTCTATACACGCGGGATGTAACATCAAAATCAACAGTATTTTACTGATTTTTTATTCATAAAATAGTTTTATTCATTAGTAAAAATGTTATTAAATGATCTGAAATTTATTAAGTTAAAATTTATACATAAATCATAATATAAAGCGCCTTTCACCGGGAATTTTTTGAAATAAAAAATATTGTTTTTAATTCTAGCGCACTCAAACGTCATCTATAGTAACTAAAATTTATGAGCTCAAATAATTATGGAATAAATCCTGTTTCAAACTTTTATTTAAAATATTTTAAATATTAATAATTGAAATATAATAATAATAATTACTTTAATAAGCGTATAATAATTATTTAAATTAAAGTAATTTAAAATTAAATTGAAGCTGTATTCTGGAGAAAATCTGGAGGGCGCTTTTTAATTTATGTCACGATTTATATATGAGCAATATATAAAATTTTTATCGCTTTAATAATTACTTAAATGGAATAAAAATGTAACAAAATTGAAAACAACAATACTAAAATATAAACGTTATTTTTAAAGAACGAATCTCCTTCTATCAAAAAGAAAAATTAATAAAGGGTGATAGGGAGTGAGGTCGCCCTTATCACCGCTACTAGAAACATCCCTCAAATTAAATGCTTTATTATATTTTTCATCATTTTTTCAGAAATATTTTAGTAAATAACTTTAAATCTTTTCTTATTTTAAGTAAATCCATAAGAAACAATGCTATAAATATATAATTATTTAATTAAAATAAAATAAAAATTAATATATTTTATCTACTTAAACGATAAAAAAATTCGAAGCGCCATCTGTTGATAAAAATATATACTGAAATATAATTCATGATTCAATATTTCCTATTTCGAATCTAATTAAATTGCTCCATTTTATGTTAATATATATGCAGATTAATCCATTTTAACTAATTAAATTAAATTAAATATTGACTCGTTTATTCATGCATAACACGATTTTACGTAGAAAATTTTAAGTCGGCTTTTAAGTTAATGTAATGTTTTGATAATTTTGTTTATGCTTTAAATTCAACATAAAAAGTTGTTCAATATTTAATGCAAATGAAATTTGAAGGCGATGACATTTAAAAACGTCCTGATTTCAATTAATAAAAGAAAAGATACGGATCATTTCATGGGTCATTAAACTGTAATAAATATAAAATACCTTAATAGCCATGTGTATCTTTCATTATCAAATTATTTCTATGGATATGATTCTCAACAATCTCTGATCCTAACATTGAATCTATCGTACTCTTTTTCTAGGTAACAAAATCCAGCTTCTGAATTAAATTAATGGTAATTGAAGGATTCTTCTTCTTAAATACACCTTTGCCATAACACGATACAACCCAAAAAATAAATTACTTAGCAATTTATTTTTTGTGAAGTTAAAACAGGATCCCTCCCTTGAAGGCTCAGCTTTTATGGCTACCGAAAATGATGGAATCAAAGTTACGTGATTAGAATTAAATCTATAATTATTTATAATTATCATGGCCGAACACGTGCTTCCAGCTATCATTATATTAAGATGTCAGATTCTTCAATAATTGTCCTAACAGATTCAAGTTAAAAGTAATTTAAATTAGTTTTCAATATGCTTACAAATTGCCCTCAAAATGAAGAATTTGATTGTATGATTGAACTCGAAGAATGATGTCCGCCATCTTTAGTTTTCGTAGCATTATCCTTCACTTAAGAAGCTGTTGATTGTTATAACATTTTAAAACAAGACTGCTGTTTATTAAGGTAATTGTCAATTATTTTGCTGAAAATCTAATGTCGTTACTGTAATTTATATTAATAATTTGCAGTGTTTATTCAAGTAATACTCTACATTTCTTTAATATAGGCTAATACAATTTGTTTAAAAAGTTTAATATCGAATGATAGATTTTATCAATTACACTTGCTAAAAGGTTTACATTAATTTATAAAAATATATTTGTTTCTTAAATAAGGATTGTGATAATGAGAACTTTAAATGAATAAAAAAGATTTAATTTTCTACTCGAATTTGTTTGTATAAATATACAATACATCTCAAGAAATCATGTTAAATATAATATAAAACAGCACTATGTGAAAAAAAATCAGATAATAATGATATTTTAATTATAAGTTAAAATAAAAATAGATTTTATCACAGGAAACTTGAGATTTGACATTGCATATATTATTGACAGCCGCAGCTCTTGACAACCATACCCTTCAATTTTCTAACTACTAATTTTGGAGGGTCCGAATCTGTGTAGTGTAGAATCCTGAGAGAACCTGTCCTTTTCGGCGCGCAACACAGTCTAGGCACTTTTATACTTCTGCTCCTCAAAATACTCCTGATCAACGCATTTTGGCTAAGTATAGAAGTATCGTTACGACATTTTCCTTTACAGTAATAAAAATCGAAAGATTCTGGTCTGTATATCCAGTTCCAACCGATCTCTTTAAAGTTAACTTTGAGTTTTTTTAAGCAACAATCATAATTTCTCTTGCATTTTGATCTTCTGTTTTTAACCTGTCTCTTCATTCTTCGGTGGGATACCACGTGTAAAGTGGCTTCTGTAGGAATAGATTGGCAACTCGCGCACTCTAATGTTAATCCTTGATTACTGTCAGGCTGCTCGATCCACTGGCCCACTATCTTGAACAAATCAAGTTCTTCACCCCGATGCGTACTGAGATTAAGCGTGTTGACTAGATGATTTTGATGCAGCAAATGCAATACCCCACTATTGTTGGGATGAATGGATAAACGTAGAGTTGCAGAATGCAAGTCCGACAGGGACATTTGAGGTAGGAAAAACATCAACTTTTTTCTTAATTCTCCTTCTTCGTGTTTAACTAAAATAAAAAGTGGAATAATTTTAGAATATTTTCATTCTTTATTTTTCGAATTTTTCATTTATCAAGGTCAAATTGAAACACAGAAAAAGAACTAATTTTAGCAACCGACATGTTGAAATACCATAATGGACAGGAAAATCATACAAGAATGTGCCTTAAAACAATTTGTTTCAGCAAGATTTTAGTGTTTGTATCATTAAATGTCTGTCATTCAATTTATATAACTAAAACAACCGGTTTCCGAAAAAAAAGAGACTGATAATTTGTAAAATTAATTAATTAATCAGATCTTANTCCCCGATTGAAATAAGTTTGTAACTTTTCCTCTTTGTTTCTCGATATTGATTCCGTGTTTTTAAAATTCCATATCGCATTTTTCGGTTCCCCTTTCTCGCAACATTTAGCCCTTTAATCGCTTCTCAAAATGATTTAAGGGATGAATATATTATCATAATTTTAAGCTAAAAGATTTTTTAATAAATTATTTAAACTTAATATAAAGATTTTACATAGATAATCGAAGTTAATCTATAAGTAAGGCCTACATTTAAAAGGATGTTAAAGACTTTCAAAATGGAAAATCGTAGGTTAATCTAAAGCCTTTCCCGAAATTAACTGGCCTTTACAATGTATTAATTTATAAATCACTGCTTTTTATACTATTTGTATTTTAACAATTGTAAATTTTCAGTAGACTCTGGCTTTAGAGAAAATACCGGAAAAAAAAAGAAAAATGTCTATAAAATTCTTATTTAATTCGACAAATATGCGAATTTGATACTTTTTGATAAATTTGATAGAATAATCGATTATTTTAGAAGAGCTTTAAACCAATTTATATAGGATAAAATCGAATGGAATCTAAACGTGCCTAAGGCACTTCAATAGAGTACTTTGTTATTATTAGCATATACATTTAGGCCTATTTTGAAGAAATGCGTAAATGAAATGAGATTTGAGTCTAATTTAAAAAAGAAAATAATGAGAAAAGTCGAAAGGATAATAAGAGAGAGAGAGAGAGAGAGGCCCGGGTAGGAGAGCGTTTCGGACCGAAAAGAGTCAGAGCTGCCATAGAAGAAGCAAAGCGAATGGAAGTGCACTCTCTGTTCGTATTTTCGGAATTGATTGCGGAAGACAAGCAGTGGAGAGGGTCAGATATTAAAATGCTCATATTAGAAGCGGGGGATGCCCCCTATCATTTCCATTCCGTTTGATGACGACATCGATGCTACCTAGGTAACATCTAAGTCCAATTTCGGTAGTCACGTGATATAGGAAGGAAGACGTTTCTCTTTGCAGTTTCTACTTGAGATAATATTTATCTTTCGGACTGGGATATTTTTGGTCATGGGCCTTTTTTGCGCTCTCTCTTAAGTAAAGTTTTGTCACCGTCGGGTTCCGGATACAACGTGTTTATGTAAGGCTGGTAATCTTACCGCCCTGGACTCGCCAAACTGGCGATAATCTACATTATTACAGTCTGTTACAAAATGTAGTTTTCTTTTCTTTCATTCGTCTAAATCAGCCAAACAAACAAAATCGGGACTAAAATTTACTTCGATAACTCGATTCCGGTGGAAAAAAACCCCTAAAAGATTTCAAAATAGAGGCCTTCCTCTGTATGCCACTGGATTTGTTTTATCTCTATCGTAATTATTCATAAACTAAATTTCTATTTGAAATAACTTATGTAAATTTTGTTTACGATTACCTTGGAAACTTTTAACCCGACAGATTCGCTATGCCACACGGATGAAGTCATTTTGAATTTACAAACTTTAAAAAAAATACATATTTTAATGGGGTTGGTTGATTGTCGTTGCTTCGGAGGGTGGTAAATATTGTGCGCGAGACATTGCCTATATTTTAAAATAAATAAATAAATATTAAAATTGAAAGAACCATTTTTACTAAATGTTTTTCAGTAAAGTTCTATGGAACGTTTAATCCCTTTTGAATTCGAGATGTTCCCGAAATGTATAAAATTAATAGAGATCTCTACAAAAATATTTGGTTAATATAATTAAAACTTATTTGACGGACAATTTACGAGAATTCTATCTTTTCTTTTTAAGAAAAAATCATTATTATAGTTAAAATAATTTTGTTTTAGGTCGAAAAGGTGTCATTCGAGATCGTCGCCCGTAGAGCAACCGAACGATTATTTCTAACAAGAAAACTGAATTAGTATCAACCCATTTATTATTTTTCATCTTAAAAGGAATTTATTATTATTTAAAAATTTTTACTCGGAAAAAAGATTTATTTTTTGGATACGCGATGCAACAAATTTGCGAATTGAGCGGAGAAAAAGTGAATGTAGAAGGATGTATAACGCAAGTATTTTTGGCAATTTTTATATTCCCGGATTCTCCTTCCTACCGAGGACTGCACGGAATCGCGAGGGAAAAATATTTCTTCGGCTTCTTCCATTCCACGAGCGTCTTTCCGGAATTCCAGCCGGTCACGTGAGGAGGCGGCAGAGAAGAAGACTCGATACTTTAATAAACGAACTAAATAAACACGCGCAGGGCGCAATTTGGATGTAACTCGATATGACGTAATCAGGGAGAAACTGGGTTCTTCGGTGGCCATTTGGGCCACGTGACCCGCAGCTCTCGTCTGATCGATGCACAACATTAGCGGCAGCGTCCATACATAATTGATGATGGGATGATGATTACCTCTCTCTTTCTGTGCCGAGACTATTTTTCGTCACGTGATCCACCTGGTTAGAATAATTCTTCTCCCTTCCATTTTGGAATTTCCCAATTTCCATCACAATATATTCCTTTTCCCCCCTTCTTCTTCTTCCCGTTCGAGAGCGCTACTCGTCCCCGATTGAAATAAGTTTGTAACTTTTCCTCTTTGTTTCTCGATATTGATTCCGTGTTTTTAAAATTCCATATCGCATTTTTCGGTTCCCCTTTCGGCTTCCCCTCATAACCAGACTCTACTACCCCCGGGCCTATTCCACGCCTTTAACCCGCGAAGGGGCCGGGAAGCGACCTCGAGCACCCCCTCTTTCCGATTTCGAGAGAGACAACCAATAAAAGAAGACACGCGAATAGTCATGTGACGTAAAAAGACAGAAAAATTGCTTTTTTATGTAAAGTCCTCGGGGCACCTAATGACGTAGACAACTTATCCTTTATGTAATTAACAGGATCGGAGTGGTGCTAGAGAAACGAAACAAAATAAGAGCAGAGATTTTGGGAATTTTTTCGGCACGAAAATCTCCGAGAGTGGAGCAAAAGAGTAGAACCTTGTATCAGAAGGGTTGTTGATGAAAAGCAGATTGTTATCCGCCTAAGAGATGTAACCCAAGCCCTCTCGCATCTGCATGCTGACATAGCAGCAAAAACAGACGGTTAAATAAATACGTGCCTTCCTCTGATCCTTCCGTCTTCCTAGTCACTTCCCCTTAGGTAAACACATTCGCGCCCTCCTTATCTGTCCGCCAGATTTATGGAGGACAGTTAATGATGCCGTCTGATTATCCGCAGACGCCCTCACCCTTTCTACGACATATTACGCCAACAGGTGGCACAATGCTGTACAGGCGGCACTTTCGCTTTCCCGAGTGCAGAAGTGGAAAGATGCTAATGGGAATTCCTGGAATGGTTGCCTTCCGCCACGTTATTAAAACGAACCTGCGGTGTGACGTGTCACCTAGCCTTACGAATTGTTACCTGCCTTTTGGCTACCGGATATTCGGTGGTAACGGCGGACGAAGGGGGAAAAAGAAAGCGGAAACTCTCTTCGGCTCCTCTTTGAAGACAGGGTTCGGACCTCTACAGAAAAAAGGAAGGAGACAAAGAATTAATGAAGGAAAGAAAGAGTTAGGTTAGGACAACAAAGACAAATTTGTGGGTAAAGCCGACAAGACCGCACCCGAACCAATCTTACATCCAAATGACAGACAAAGAAGAGAAAAGCGTCCATGTCCGTCTGTTCCCGTGATTTGCAGCTTCTCCCTTTGTTGCCGGTTGCTATCTGGGGGGAGGCAACGGAGCAGTAATGAGGCCCTGGCTTTGGAATTTTCAATAATGGAAGGAAGCGGGCAGACGCGAAAGCTAATAAAAGGCTGGCATGCGACAACCGTTGGTTTTAGACAATATGCTTGCAGCAATATTTTGTCGCAGGAGGCGTCAATAGCTCGTTATAAACCGGAGAAGTGCCGACTGCCCCGATGCTCCAGAAACTTCTTTCGGCTGCATTAAGTCCAATCAGTCAAGCCAGGCGCGCGCCTCGACGCTTGACAGCAGGAATCTGCGCTCCCCAAATCGAATCAGTGGCAAAAAGGCAGCCAATCCTCGTTTGATTCTAGAAATTGAATACGTCTCTCTTCGTTTTCCAAATCTCTTCGCTCCAGCGCGCGACACCGTCGACGGCAGTAGCCCTGGAGGGCCGAGACTCTCTTCTCGGGCCCGTACAAATGTATATTTCGGCCATATTAACCTTACTAGTCACGTGGCATTGGGTCAGTTTTATCATGGACGAAGAAACAACACCGAATTACTTACCGCGTTGTTTAGCAGGCACATTGGCAGTAACCCATCACGTGACGTTCGGGAGATTGATTTCTATCGATTGATACCAGACAAATCGATGAGGAATGCTTCACGCTTCGTCATCTATATCACCTGACTTGTCGGCAATTAAAATCGAAACATTTTCCACTACGCGGGATGCCGCTTGGACTCTCCAATGCTCTATTCAATCACGTCATCCAACGTCCTTCTAAAACAATCACGTGACAACGCAACCCCGTCACGTGACTCAATGGACACAACCCGGCCTTTTTCATTTGTTAATACAATTGCAATCAATAAAATTTGTTTTTCAAATTGTTTCAAATCCGCCATTTACGACGAATAAATAATTCGGCACGCGTGACGTTATAACTAAATCAACTTGTTATCCGTACACGTCACACTACACGACTCCATTTGCAATAAGGACGTATGAATTGAATTCCGGACATAAATATAAACCATTTTAATTTTTATATAAAGTAATTTAANATTTACGACGAATAAATAATTCGGCACGCGTGACGTTATAACTAAATCAACTTGTTATCCGTACACGTCACACTACACGACTCCATTTGCAATAAGGACGTATGAATTGAATTCCGGACATAAATATAAACCATTTTAATTTTTATATAAAGTAATTTAACATTAATATAACGAAGGAATTATTAAAAGATGTTTAATTATTGTGTGAAGAAATAAAAATCTATTGTAAATATACATTATAATGTTTTTTCAACCGAAAGAGATATTTATTAGTTTTAAATGTCATTCGTTATATGTTTAAAAATCTTGTATAAATAAGTCGAAATTTATGTTATTTGTATTCACTATCCAAACTTTCGGTTAAATTAAACATGGCATGTTCTACGTCGTTCGGCTTACTCGCTTCTTACATAAATTATAATATCTGTACAGGAAAAAAACACTTTTGTTTTTAATTTTAATCAAAAAATTAATTTGTAATTAATGAAAATTAAAAGTCTTTTTAATATATGTTTACTTTTATTTTAAAATATATATATTTATTTCAACTGTGGCGCCATCTAATGTCAAATTAAATAACTAATCGTTAAAATTAAAATATTTTCTTAAAATGTCGTAATTGTTAGCAGTTGAAACACAACAGAATTTTTTCGAGACTTATGTTTGAAAATACAAAAAAAAGAAACATAAGAAAAAAAAATGTGTGCGCTCCTTGAAATTATTTTATATAATTAAAAACGTCACAATAACTGTATTGTATTTCTCCAGATGTGTGTCAGTTTATTTTGATAACAAATTCTAACAGTAATTAACTTTTTGTGATTAAATATCGAATAAAATATTTTAATATCATTCAACAATATTTTCATTCAAAGTTAACATAAAACATTTACAAGTTGTTTATTAATTATAAAAAAAGAAAAGAAATTAAATTCTACCCATTAGAACTTTTTTTATTATTGTATTATCTTGTTATTAGTAATAATTGTTTAGAACTTTTATGTAAATTAAGTAAAAAAATTTGTTTAAGATTGTTTATGAAACACATACACGTGCGTGCCTATAGTGTGTATTTCGTCTATAATTAATTGATTTTTCAGTTACTCCAGCGCCATTTTGGTGCGATATAATAACTCATTTTACGTAATTTGTCATAATAAATAATTCGTTACAGTAAAAATCTTATATAATAATTGTTCGTGTGAAATTATTATTAATTTTTTATTTAAAACAATGAAAAATTTTTAATTGTCATATCAAAAGAAATTTTCATAGCTAAATGATATAATATTAAATATTTTTTCGTGTTCGACGGTAATAAAAATATTGATATATTTCGTGTAAGATTATAAAAAAGAACAAAATATCTACAAATATATACTTGCAAATTGATTAACAACAGATTCTTTTAAAGGCATAAATATTAATGCAACGGCTATGTGCGGCACATCATAGTTTTTTTTTATGTTAAGGCTTTCTTAGTCGAATCATTAGAATTACATAAGGCTATTTGAATGAAATCCTCCGCGTTTTAGTTTGTAAAAGTCCGGTAATTCGTCGTGAAAGTCTACTGTATGCTACAGTCTATACACGCGGGATGTAACATCAAAATCAACAGTATTTTACTGATTTTTTATTCATAAAATAGTTTTATTCATTAGTAAAAATGTTATTAAATGATCTGAAATTTATTAAGTTAAAATTTATACATAAATCATAATATAAAGCGCCTTTCACCGGGAATTTTTTGAAATAAAAAATATTGTTTTTAATTCTAGCGCACTCAAACGTCATCTATAGTAACTAAAATTTATGAGCTCAAATAATTATGGAATAAATCCTGTTTCAAACTTTTATTTAAAATATTTTAAATATTAATAATTGAAATATAATAATAATAATTACTTTAATAAGCGTATAATAATTATTTAAATTAAAGTAATTTAAAATTAAATTGAAGCTGTATTCTGGAGAAAATCTGGAGGGCGCTTTTTAATTTATGTCACGATTTATATATGAGCAATATATAAAATTTTTATCGCTTTAATAATTACTTAAATGGAATAAAAATGTAACAAAATTGAAAACAACAATACTAAAATATAAACGTTATTTTTAAAGAACGAATCTCCTTCTATCAAAAAGAAAAATTAATAAAGGGTGATAGGGAGTGAGGTCGCCCTTATCACCGCTACTAGAAACATCCCTCAAATTAAATGCTTTATTATATTTTTCATCATTTTTTCAGAAATATTTTAGTAAATAACTTTAAATCTTTTCTTATTTTAAGTAAATCCATAAGAAACAATGCTATAAATATATAATTATTTAATTAAAATAAAATAAAAATTAATATATTTTATCTACTTAAACGATAAAAAAATTCGAAGCGCCATCTGTTGATAAAAATATATACTGAAATATAATTCATGATTCAATATTTCCTATTTCGAATCTAATTAAATTGCTCCATTTTATGTTAATATATATGCAGATTAATCCATTTTAACTAATTAAATTAAATTAAATATTGACTCGTTTATTCATGCATAACACGATTTTACGTAGAAAATTTTAAGTCGGCTTTTAAGTTAATGTAATGTTTTGATAATTTTGTTTATGCTTTAAATTCAACATAAAAAGTTGTTCAATATTTAATGCAAATGAAATTTGAAGGCGATGACATTTAAAAACGTCCTGATTTCAATTAATAAAAGAAAAGATACGGATCATTTCATGGGTCATTAAACTGTAATAAATATAAAATACCTTAATAGCCATGTGTATCTTTCATTATCAAATTATTTCTATGGATATGATTCTCAACAATCTCTGATCCTAACATTGAATCTATCGTACTCTTTTTCTAGGTAACAAAATCCAGCTTCTGAATTAAATTAATGGTAATTGAAGGATTCTTCTTCTTAAATACACCTTTGCCATAACACGATACAACCCAAAAAATAAATTACTTAGCAATTTATTTTTTGTGAAGTTAAAACAGGATCCCTCCCTTGAAGGCTCAGCTTTTATGGCTACCGAAAATGATGGAATCAAAGTTACGTGATTAGAATTAAATCTATAATTATTTATAATTATCATGGCCGAACACGTGCTTCCAGCTATCATTATATTAAGATGTCAGATTCTTCAATAATTGTCCTAACAGATTCAAGTTAAAAGTAATTTAAATTAGTTTTCAATATGCTTACAAATTGCCCTCAAAATGAAGAATTTGATTGTATGATTGAACTCGAAGAATGATGTCCGCCATCTTTAGTTTTCGTAGCATTATCCTTCACTTAAGAAGCTGTTGATTGTTATAACATTTTAAAACAAGACTGCTGTTTATTAAGGTAATTGTCAATTATTTTGCTGAAAATCTAGTGTCGTTACTGTAATTTATATTAATAATTTGCAGTGTTTATTCAAGTAATACTCTACATTTCTTTAATATAGGCTAATACAATTTGTTTAAAAAGTTTAATATCGAATGATAGATTTTATCAATTACACTTGCTAAAAGGTTTACATTAATTTATAAAAATATATTTGTTTCTTAAATAAGGATTGTGATAATGAGAACTTTAAATGAATAAAAAAGATTTAATTTTCTACTCGAATTTGTTTGTATAAATATACAATACATCTCAAGAAATCATGTTAAATATAATATAAAACAGCACTATGTGAAAAAAAATCAGATAATAATGATATTTTAATTATAAGTTAAAATAAAAATAGATCTTATCACAGGAAACTTGAGATTTGACATTGCATATATTATTGACAGCCGCAGCTCTTGACAACCATACCCTTCAATTTTCTAACTACTAATTTTGGAGGGTCCGAATCTGTGTAGTGTAGAATCCTGAGAGAACCTGTCCTTTTCGGCGCGCAACACAGTCTAGGCACTTTTATACTTCTGCTCCTCAAAATACTCCTGATCAACGCATTTTGGCTAAGTATAGAAGTATCGTTACGACATTTTCCTTTACAGTAATAAAAATCGAAAGATTCTGGTCTGTATATCCAGTTCCAACCGATCTCTTTAAAGTTAACTTTGAGTTTTTTTAAGCAACAATCATAATTTCTCTTGCATTTTGATCTTCTGTTTTTAACCTGTCTCTTCATTCTTCGGTGGGATACCACGTGTAAAGTGGCTTCTGTAGGAATAGATTGGCAACTCGCGCACTCTAATGTTAATCCTTGATTACTGTCAGGTTGCTCGATCCACTGGCCCACTATCTTGAACAAATCAAGTTCTTCACCCCGATGCGTACTGAGATTAAGCGTGTTGACTAGATGATTTTGATGCAGCAAATGCAATACCCCACTATTGTTGGGATGAATGGATAAACGTAGAGTTGCAGAATGCAAGTCCGACAGGGACATTTGAGGTAGGAAAAACATCAACTTTTTTCTTAATTCTCCTTCTTCGTGTTTAACTAAAATAAAAAGTGGAATAATTTTAGAATATTTTCATTCTTTATTTTTCGAATTTTTCATTTATCAAGGTCAAATTGAAACACAGAAAAAGAACTAATTTTAGCAACCGACATGTTGAAATACCATAATGGACAGGAAAATCATACAAGAATGTGCCTTAAAACAATTTGTTTCAGCAAGATTTTAGTGTTTGTATCATTAAATGTCTGTCATTCAATTTATATACCTAAAACAACCGGTTTCCGAAAAAAAAGAGACTGATAATTTGTAAAATTAATTAATTTATCAGATCTTATTTAACTAATAAAAAACTAAATAATTAAATTCTTCTCAGTGGAGTATTTTCTTCTTCAAAGCATTATTTATATGGAAATTTGAGAACGAATTCACTTTTGAGTCTATATTAAAATGAATATCGATCAAAATAAAGAAAAAACACTATTGACCTTAATAGATGAATGGATATTTATAAGTATCAGGTAATATTATAAATTAATTAATCTTCTAATATATATATTAAATTATATTAAATTCCTACCTATTGACTTGTATTTCGATAGTTTTAAGAGCTTCTCTTCCCTATAATACATGAGCAACATTCTCCGCATTTCTTCCACAGAGATGTTAACCTTAGACATATCCGGCTCACTCCTGATGTTAAGGTTATCAAGAAACATTCGTTTAAAGGCTTCTAATTCCATATTTGAGTTGATACGAGTCCGAGAGAGACAGTAAACCGCCACCAAATTAAGGTAGATCAGCCATATCCTGATCATCCTCCGACACTCATGACAGTTCTTATTCTCCCCACATCATTCTATAAATCGAGTTGCACGTGGAGGTTCATTTTAAACTGCAAAGACGAATAAGTGGGAGGGAGAACGTATACGTGTCGTTTCTCTTCCAATGGAGATAAGGAGGTGGGGCTCGGGTTTTCCAGGATTTCCCAGATGTCTCTGCTGGTAGTCAGTTAGGGGGAAATGCTTATATACCTAAAAAAATAGAGAAAACCTGTTGGTGCCGATAACTTTTCTAAATATTTACTTTCTTTTAAGGTGGAGAAATATATGTATTTCTACATTATGATCTACGTGAAAACCTTCCCATCTTTATCTTTACAATTCGATAAATATATCAAAATTCTAATTAAAAATAAGATATCTTGATTAACGATCTAAACTTATATAATTTATTGTTAGCTTTCTTTTAATACTTTTTAAATTTTATTTATAAAATAGAAGAGGGCTTTCCAATTAAAACATTCAATAATACAGATATTTATTGAACAGTACAATCAAAAGATGTAGGGTATGTGTATAAAATAAAAATAAGCATAAAAAGGACTTAACAATTACATAGAAGTATACATTAGAGCCGAATGACTAATTACATCAATTAATCAATATGATTTGAAAAACGAAGTTGATTATAGTTTGGAATAATAAATAAAAAGGTCAATTGAATCCCTTTCTAAAGCGTTAATGCCAGGAGTTTGGAACAGGAAGGGCTTTTCCGAATAGAAAAAGTGACATAGCCCGAAGAAAATATTAAATCGTTTGAATTCCGTTCTACCCAGTTGAATGTTGGCAGCGAGAAGGAAAGATTTGTTAGAGATAACAGCAGGCCCGAACGCAGCATTTTTAAAAGGATGGTTAAAAGATTAAAAAACCCGCTATTTTTCATAAAGTAGTTCATTAATTCCCCCAATATATAAAGTAACACAAAACAGTAGACTAGGGAGGAACTGAACGGGTACAAAATATACATAAGATATACACAATATACTGTTTTATTACTCTTATAGTCCGATTGTATCCCTAAGTGGAGATAAAACCCCTTTATGTGGCCTTGGATGACTGTATCCAAGTTTCAATATTTTTGAACGGAATATTAATCGTAATAATTAATCATTTAGAATTTATGAACAATGTAAGACATTATTTGTCGTAATTGCTAACTCATCTTTTCATAGTAGCAGCTAACTGTTCGTGACGTAAAGCGATGAATAAGCAAACTGCAATAAAAAGTTTATCGTCATCTGAAAATGGCTGGACCAATCCTAACTTGCGAGAGGGAGAATTATTTAATAGTTTTTCTTCTATAAAATACGTTTACTATTTCTTTTCGGCGAGCTTTAATGAAAAATTTATGAACGGCATCCGGAGAGATTGCAATCAAAATTTCAGGTTTCTGGAATATCCGTTACAGTTGAGGCTTATAAATGGGGAGTATAGATACCAAAATACAGGCCTAATCTTATTATAGAGTAAATGATATCTAATGTGATGATTCACCCACTTAGTATGCCAATAGGTGGAAAATGACGTACTAAATAATTGAATAATCAACAAAAGAGTCTATTGTCATCTAAACTGTAATAAAGTGCGATGCCATAAATGATAGAGATGCAATTATTTAGAAATTTGTCAGTGTATCGTGATAATGTTTAAAATATTATTAGAATAGGAGGAAAAGCCACATTCGGATTTCCATATGTGGATACGAAGTACAATAAATATCAAGAACGTTCTTTTACATTGCAATATTATATGTATGTTTGAAAGGACCTTGAATCACGCAACCTTTACGTTTGCCTCTTATTTCGCATACATTTGTTGTTTTGTTTTAAGAAATAAATATATGCGAAATAGGAAAATATATACACTAAATTTACATTAAATACTCTTCTAGAAAGAGATTTTCTCGATCCTAGTAACATTAATCTAATATAATCCTCGAACCGTCGACGGGGAAAATACTAAGAAAGAGCATTTCTCCTTTAAAAAGTTTTGGCAATCTTCCTAACTTTCCGGTTAGAGGGCTAAAAGGACCGCTTCGTCGTGTTATGAGGTCTTAAATCCTATTTGAAGACTCCTATATAAACTCGGACCTCTTGTTAGCAATTATTAAGGATAATCCTCCTTGTAAAGAGTCCATTTTGGTTTTTCTCATGATTTAACACTTTCCGGAGTTTCACTCGGGGATTATGGCTCCTCTTTGTCCCGGGCCCCATACCACTATTCTTTAGATCTATATAACAGGGGGAAAAGTTTATAAAGAAGACAAATAGTATTAAGGGAACCGGATCATCTACATGACAAACGATAAAAATAATTTGCAATTTTTCGTTTTATAGAAGATCGGAAATCGAATGGGAACCGAAACAGCTTTTTACATCGGAAAAACTGAATGGAAATTCGTAAATACGAGGGCTAAAAATACTAGAAGGAATTTTTGGCGAATTAAAAGGGGAAAAGGAAGAAATTCCAACTCTAAATTTACTAAGTTAGAGTTAGGCTAGTAATTATTATTAGGTTGCACATTCAGCTAGGAAGAAATGTCGAATTTCTACAGCCAAGGCGGAAGGCATGAATCACGACTTCGATTGTTTAAATCTTTTTCAAATATTCCTCATCTCCCTTTATTATATTATTTTTAAAAAATTATTCATTATGCCCTTATATATATATATATAATTGTCGGGTTTTATTGATTCAATGCCTCATTAATTAGCTGTAGAAAATTATCAGGCAATTTTTTACAGGTTAGAAGCAATAGCGAAAAGAAAGATACATAAGTAATTGAGAGTAAATATGAAAATAATTCGAGGAGAAAATTAATAAAAACTTACCGGATTAAAAAAAATTAGGCAGTAGTCTTTAATTATAAGTGATAACTGTTGGAGTCACGCGCTGTTCATCAGGTATCGTTAAACAAAAATTAAGTTACACTACTTCGGGCAGAAACGCTTTTGACTCATTTCGACTGATTTAATTCGACTGATTCATTTCGTCCAGCGGCAAATTTAATTGGTTTCTAAATGCCCTCGACAACAAATAAACTATAGATTATTTCTGTTGTTTTTTTCGAGGAAACAATCTGGAATTCTTCGTATAAATATCAGAACACTACTTTTGAATTCGAAAGAACATTGACCTCTGATCAAGTTATTGAAAAGGTCAGTCAGTGACGCTAAAACCACCCTTTCTCGGTAGGATGAATCCTATGAATTTTAGGAATTAAATAAAACGTGTGAGATCATCAAAGTGACCGAAACACGCTTCCCTTCTTTTTTTTTTTTGTGAAACAATTTTCAAACACAAGCGATAATTTTACGTTGTTCTAGTTTAAAGTCAGCCGTCGATCATTTAAGTAGGTAAAATAGGGCAATTATAAAGCTAATAATGTGTTTGTTGATTTTCTATAAAAGGGATTTTCCGAACTAGAAACGACCTTGAAGAGGGTGCCAGGGGGTTAGTAGTTGCCAAAGAGGAGTGAAATTCCCAATGCAATTAGACGTAGCGCGCGATACAAATCGATAACATAAATCGATAAAAACTTATGGGATGACTACTACTCTTTATTAATTACAGCTACTGAAAAGAGCAGTTTGTTTGAATAGTCATTATTTATTTACTTTCAACAAAAAAAGATTATAAATACATTTTCTATCATTAATCACTCATCAAATTATTCAGTAATAGACAAATAAATCGAAAATTATAGTTTGTTATTGGTTTAGGCTATATTTTTACGGAAGTCAAACTTTGACTATTAGCAATTGGCTTCCGTATATCATCATCATCTTCTTCATATCGCCGCACATTTTAAGATGTGAAGGACCGAATAGGTATTTATTTAAATTAATAGTTACCTCCGAAGCTGAAGAAAAAGTATATAAATTTATGTAATTTTACCTTTCCTAAATCGTAAATAAATTTCGTTTAGAACTTCTTAGAATTGTAAGTTTTAGAAAACCGGTTTCACAAAATTCTTTTCTAAAATTGCTAGAAATATTTACGTAAGGATCATTCAAATAATAAGTATAGCATTTAATTCTAAAGCTGCTAATATATAAAGACAAATGAATTTTTCGGAGAAGCTGATTAAAATCAAGTCCTTTAGATTTGTTCTTTACAGCGTCACTTCGGTGAATAAATTAATTTTTTTTTTATTTCTTAATTAGATAAGTACTGTTCCAGATCAGTTTTTTTCGTTTCTTTTTTTTCTGGTTCAAGGACAAGCAACTATAAACCTGAAGTTATACGGAAGTTTCGAAATGTTTCCATCGAAACTTGAAGAACAAATATATATTATCGAGACAGCATTAAGTAAAATATGATCCAAGAGAGAATTAAAAGCTTTTCTCCCCAAGCTGTGGTGATTCCAAACGCATCACTTCCGACCCACTTGTTTATTGACCCGCTCTTTTCTCTTCTCTCATGCTTGGCTGGATAGTAAGAGAAATATTGACGTCATTTAAACGGTCCAGTGTTTATATGACGTCATACGCCCACACTTATCATTACCCAATAGAGCCTCCATCGAATTTTCAGAACAATACACGATTTAAATGCAGTAATGCGTTAGGAAAGACGGATTTTCCATCCATAAACATCTTTTGGCACGGAAGTACTCTCAGGTATCGAGCTATGATTAGCAGATCTATGAGTCAACTAACTAAATATAGATGAAAAAGTGCATCAATGAAATGCTCCGAATTCTTCTTTTAGAGTAAATTCTAACACGAAGAATTTAGTGACTCTAGAGAGAGAGAGAGAGAATCTCGAAACTCTTCGCGATCTTTAATGCAACAGTTTATTTGAAGCGTTAAGATACAAGTCTTTTTCTTTCCGAGAAATCTATGTACCGTGTCGGAATAGATGAGGAATCTAGGTGACATTTAGGGAAGGTCTGACCAGAAAACAATGAAAGACGGTTTCCGGAAATAGGCCGATATTGATTTCCCCATACATATTAGCGACCAAAAACGAGTCGTATTAAAGCATTCACAGGAAATCATAATAATAAACTTTCGAGGAAATTGAATGACAGTAGTCTAAAGGAGTGTCTCCTATTAAATCCCGTTCTACAGGATTAATTTACTAGACACCAACCCCCAGGCTACGATACACGAAGCCTAAAGTGAGAGGCACTATCAAATATGCGGTCTAATGGCAATGTAGCATTTTAGATATTCTCTACGTCTAAATAAATACTATAAAACTAGTAAAAATATTCATCGGATTTATTAAATTACAATAATAATTACCTTCTTATAAAGATTCGAAAAGATTTATTATATATGATGATGACCTTTGCCAATATTAGAATGCCAGTGGCCAAACTGAACATTTTTGTTTGTTTTTTCCGATTATATTTAGCCTAAATCCTAATATAGAACCAGGTAGAGCACCGGAAGGGGTAGACATTTTCCAGGTGCACTTGCCGTATCTGGAAAGGAAGAATGGTCGTTTAGCAGAACTTACTCACATCCGGTCTTGGGAATAATATTTATCAACAGCAAAATTCCGACTGACATTTCGTTCTTCCTTCGTAGTTAGAGACACCTTATAAGGGCTCTTGTTGAAAATCATTTTCGTTAGGATTCACCAAGATAATTTCACCACAAATAAAACATATTTTTCATACAGGCGCGTCACTTTTAGAAATGGAATAAGATTCACGGATCGCTGCTCCGGGAGAAAAATATGTTAATACAACATAAAAATAATGTTACAAGGGCTCGATTTGGGGGGAATACGTTCTAAAATTCCAAACTTTATTGCCATTTTCTATTGACAAAGTAATTTATTTGTAGAATTGTGAGTTTTCTCGCGATGCTAGATTCAAATTTTATCGCAAGTGTCTACCAGAAAGGTTAGAAATGGCCGAAATTTTTATTTTTTAAACTCTCTCCACACTAAGAGGGCCTTTTTTTCCCCCATGCCCATCACGGGTTCGACCAAGTGGTGAGGCCACGTGGCCGAGAGTAAATTTCGAGCCTAATACTAAAATTATAAACGTCATTATCATAACTCATTTATTAATTATGAATTAACACATTTATCACACGAATCGAGAAATAAATGTTATAATTTTCATATAATCTCCTGTTATTTTTTTAAATAACAACGTCATTAATTAAGCATAATTAATCCTAATTATTATTTTCATAAAGATAGTTCATGGGAAAGGATAAATTATAATCAACAACATTTTTATAGGCGTGTGACATCGTATTTGAAAATTTGTGAATAGAAACAAATGTTTTGATGGTATCAACGGCTAATATTTTTTCCTTAAATTTAGCAGGAATTTCTAAAATAACGTTTATGATATTGAAAAGAGTTGTTTATAAATAAGCATTGCGTCAGCATTCAAATTTACGAGTCTCAGTTATTTATTAATATCCTTCTGGCTTAAAATAACACAAAACTATAAAAAATTTGAAAAATTTAATAATTCTCATATTCGACGACAGATGGCGGTACGTATTTTATAGGATAAATTTGTACGAGTCGCTGTGGAAATTTAACTGAATTGGACTGAAAAAAAGTTCTAATATCCGTCGAATGAGGGCGCTCGAATTTAAGAAATATTCTTGCATTAAAATCTTATACGCGTACAGGAGAGTTTACTAATATCTGTTTTATTTTTAAATTGTTATTAATTTGGTCGAACTATAAATAGAAAATTATTCTGTTGGTGAAAAAATTTGGCTGCAGCGAGAATCGTTACAAAACTGAAGAATTACTGAAAGCTGATAAACCGGACGTGACGTCAAATATGCGCAAACGATAAAGGCCTTCTTTCTGTATTTAAATTCGTAAACATTTCGCAATTAAACAAAATACAAGATTACATTCCTGCTTTTTGTCATTAATAATAATGATGCAGCGCAACTTTTTAACATTTTAATCAGTTTGTAAAACAGCACGTAGGGCATACTATCAAGCATTTATTTAGTGTCATTACATAATTTATTTGAATAAATGCTAACAATGTAGGTGTGATTGATGCACAGGCTATTTTATTCTCCTATCTTCTTTGGCTGTTGGAACTGAACAACACTCGTACCTTATTGTATTTCCCCACACACACACACAAAAAAATCCAATTGTGTGAGCTAAGCTATTTGGATACAGAAAAATTCGAATTGATTTTTGTATTAATTTGTCAACCGTTGCTTTACAAGGATTTTTAAAAATATTTAAGAAAAAATTCCGACTAAAAGCTGTTTTTTTAAGCATAGAATCCAAATATGTTGTTTTGATAGGGTTCCAATTGAAATTTCCACCCCACTGGGGTCACGTAGTTCTTTAGACGATTTGATAATCTTGAACACTGACTAAAAGTTATTTTTAAACATTAATAAATAATGGGTTATTGAGATGTAACCCTGTATATTTTGTTTCTTCAATCTATTTATAAATTCTATTTGATGGTAAATTTGTTAATTTTCATAATTGTACTTTTTACCATTTTAGAGTGTGTATGCATTAAGAACAATAAAACATTCAGAACAATAAAACATTTTATTTAATTTCTGGCCATTTTGTTTTTTTCTCAATTGAGGAACTGGCTGAATTAAAAGGAAATAAAATCACAACCACAATTAACAATTACGTTTTCCTTTTCATAAAACTGTAGAAAAAAAAATGCTTAAGGATTTTCAATCCAAAATAAATTTATACAAAACAAGAAAATTTAACTATCTTATTGCTTAATGTGTAATACATCCACAGTTCAAACTGTGGAGAACTTTAAATATTTGATTATATTATCTACAGACTGTACATATTGAAGACATGAACTGTACATACATTATAAATATTTTTCAATGTTAAAACACTAAGCAATATTTTATTATTGCATATCAAGAAAAGGAAATCTGTAAAAGAATAAAAGAAATGAAAAAATGAAACAAATGAAGTGTTTAAAATATTAAACAAAATATGGAAGGTCTGATCAGGAACAAAATCTTATAAACATTTTCAACTTTATAACTGGATATTTTTTTCTCAAATTATATTTATCATTTATAAAATTTAACCAAAATGCATTTCATATAACAATATGAACATCAGCCAGGGTAATATTCACCACTGACATTATAAATATATATATTAAGGGATTTGTTGTGATTGTACATTTTGATATTCTGCAAGTGTTTTGAGAGGTATAAATCACTCTTAAAGCATATCTAAATAGTCTTTACATAGCAGCTCACATTCACAAATCCTTATGAGTATTTTGTATAAATATAGCCTCAATAAAAACTTTATCTACAGAAAGATGAACTATTTTTCAAGCTTTTTTCCCCCTCAAAATAAATTTCTAAATTATGACTGACAAAGAATAAAATCATGGCACTATGCCTGAGCAAATTATCAACAATACTAAATTTTGTACAATGTTGAATATTTGATGACGATGACAATGATCACAATATTGATAAAGCACCACATTTGGGAGAACTATTTTACAAACGACAACATGCAGAGAATTGATTTTTTTCTCTATACTGATCTAAATACTTTCTATAATATTAATTCTGGGCTCGGGCAAGATTGTTTTAAAGTTGATGTCCCTTTACCCCACGGGACTGATTACAGGACTAGAAAGAACTCCTTTGAATATGATCTAATTTTGTTGGAAAGCATGCGATTTAACCACAATCACCATCTTCATCTTCATCTTCATCATCCTCCAGATCATCAGCTGTGATGTGGAATTTGATTTTTTCAGCTGCAGCTACAAGATCATGTTGTGATCCTGCATCACTATCTCCATCTTCATGAGAAATTTCAATCATACTGTTAGTTGGACTTATAGGAATCATATTTTGATACCAATCTCGATTTTCTTCCAATGTATCCAAGATATCTTGAGCAGCAGGATTTACTAAATCAGCCCAAGTTTCCCACAAGGGATGAACAATGTAGTCAATAAAACCCACCTGAAAAATATATTTATAGTTAAACAGATTGGATTAATTAGTTAAATTAGTATAGTTAATAAGCTGCACAAAATGACAAAAAAAAATTTCAAACAAAAACTGTTTGGGTTAAAGTCAAAGAAATTATTTTTAGAGTTTAATGTTAATTAAAATTATGGCAGTCAAATGTTAAGATAAAATAAATTTTACATTAAAAAAATCTTAGTATGTTTTTAATAAAAAAAACAGTTATTGATATTTAGAATTTTAGTCTGTCTGTCTTCTAGATGGGCAAATTCTCTGGACTTGCTTAGCATACGCCACATGTATAAGAGAAAGTTTTGACTGTCAATATACTTTTTATATAAAGAACAAATATGCCAATAATAATTTATTCTAACGTTCTATAATTCTACACCCTTTGACATATTTGCACCAAATTTTTCATACTAACTCTCTAGGACCCTGTGGAAATATACGCTAGCATAAAACCTAGACATACCACTCAATTCCTTTGACATCATCCCCTTCACATTTTGTGATAATTAAGTTAACTGAATTAATATATAAGTGTAATAATAATTAATTGTTATGTAATTAAGAATAATAATTAATAACAAGTGGGATTTTTCTTAATTATTAATAGGGTGAAATCTGAGTATCCCATTCATTTCCCTTATCTCATCCCCTTCCCTTGACACTTATGTTTATCACAATGATAAGCTAAAAAGACAAAACTTTTATTATGGTCTTTATTTTAATGTGTGTCCTTATTTGGTTTTGTTTGTATAGTACTATGCATATCTGTTTTAAAATCATATAAAACTAGCAGTCTCAATTATTTTGAATAATAATAAAAAAAAAGGTCACTATGAAGCTGCATATTTTAAACTGTAATGACTCTCCAAATATTTATCATATGCAATTAATGTTATTTTCTAATGATTAGTAACACAGGTCCCCCTGCCTTATGAATGTTTACCAAAATTTGCAGATACAAAGAAAATCATATCATCTTTTCTCTCCTATGAAGAATCCAGAAAAAAAAATTTTTGTGGATGCAAGAAATAATAAAGGCAACTTTCAAATTCCTGCATCTACATAGAGCTTGCACTCTTCTCAGAAGTTACAAACCTAGCTTTAAAACTTAAATTGTGATAAAGGCATAACTTCATTTTGTAAGTTTTAATTTATATTAATTCAAATAAAATTTACATTAATTTTATTCATATTATATTTAGTATTTTTTATTTTTATATTTGCTTATTTGCTTGTGTAATGTTAAGTTTTCATACCTTTTTGTTATATTTTAACAAAATTGGGTGGATTTCTGAGGAACTAAGGAATGCTTAAATGATTTCTCCATTGAAATCAATATTGATTACATCTTTGATTTACAAAAATTTGTCTTATGCTAAGTTTTTAAGAATGCAATATGTTTGTAAAGCGGAGGAATCTGCATTGCAACAATTTGTCAATCTTAAATAATATATAATAAAGTTACAATCCCATATTACCTGAGTTTTTTCAACAGTTGCAGTATTTCTATCACACATGGGACTGATGTCCATTCCTTCTTCTCTTTCTTTATCTCCTTGTTGGAAGAATTCCTCCATTATCAAATCAACCCATTTTTGATATAATTTCAGAGGTTTAGTAGGATTACTAAGATCAGCACAATGTAACATATTTTGTAAAACCTGAAATATATTTGAAAAATACATTTAATATAATTTCAGTCTATAACACAAATAAATATTTTTTAACTTTATTTTTAAAATTAACTTCTTACTTAATATTTCACATCTTGAAAGACATGTTTTGCTTATAAATTTTATATATTCAATTTTTTGAATAATTGTTGTTAATTATTCATAAAATATTATGATTTAAACAAGTAATAAATTACTAATACTACTATAAATTGAATTACTGTAATAAAAACTGGTTATATGTAAATAAATACTGCACATATAACTAATAAGAAAGCAAATGTCTTCATACATTTTATGATGTCCATTAAAAACAGTTGAAAATGTCTGCTTTCTTGAAATTTCTTGCTGGATATTGGTTATATGTGTGATGTTTACTAATATTATTATTTTCATAGCTTGTTACTTTATCATGTAATTACATAAACAGTATATACAATTTTAATTACATTTGAATTTTATGCAAAAATAATATATATGAAAACACATGATTTTAAAATTAAAAGTACTTTTCAAAAGAGAATCAAAATATTTTATTTGGTATTAGATTCAGAATAAATCTAGAATGGAAATAATTAAAATAAATTTTTTTGGCCCAAGAAGATATTGTCTCTAAAAGATTTGACCAACAATTCAATTTTCTCTGCATAACTAAAATGTTAATTTTAATTTAGCCTCTCTTCTCCAATTAATATATTAATATTACATAAAACAATTATAGTATTTACATAGCAATATCAAGTCAATAGTTCCAAAAGATTTACATTATGCTCTTACCAAAGATTTGTTTTTATCTTGAAAATATTTTATTATTAAATTTTTATTTTATAGAAACTATAAAAATAAGTTATTGACACCATTCATTGATTCATAACATAAGAAACTAACAAAACAATACATTGTTTCTTGTTATTAACACATTTAACTTGTTCAGTATTAATTTTTAAAATGCATGTAATACAAAGAAGATAAAGAACATAAAAAGCTAAAGTATTTCATATTATATTTGAATAAAATTTATTTAATAAATATTTAATAATGGAATCCAATATTTCTTCTGAAATATATTCAATTAAAATGTGAAATTATTTTTATTACTTATGAGTTTTAACTGTTGACACTCAAACAGAATAGTAATTTGTAAGCAAAATACTGAAAATTTTAAATACAATGAAACATCAATCTATAGTACCCAGATGTATTGCTTTCCCAGAAACCTTGTTCAATTTCTAGTGTCCCTAAATAAATCCTATGTAAACTCTGAAAATTAAACCCACATAAATCATTTCTTGATTTATCATTTTCTGATATTTATTGATATTAAAATTTTTAATCCCAAAGAACTGTGATTGTTTTTAAGAAAAAACAATTTACTAAAAAGCTATTTTTAGAACGTGGTGCAGCAATTAAGTGACAGTTTGGACTCTGTACAGTTAGCTATGTGACTTTGCACACAATGAGCTTACCTGCCAGACAATAAGCTAGAAGGAACAAGGTGATGGTGACTATGATGATAAAACCAAACCCAAACCAATGCAGAGTTTTACTGAAACATTTTGTATATTAGAATCTGTGGAGAATTTTTCGTATGTGTCACAGATCTTTTGGAAAAACACAAAGTTTTTCCAAAAGAGATCAAGAAAATATCATGAATATTGAAAGTTTATTATTCAGTATGAAAAGGAAAAGTACAGTACTACTAAAATGAAAATCAATGACTTTTTAAAAAGTAATGAGGATTGGATTTGAAAGTGGAAAAAAAATATCATTGATATATGTTTTTTGATTTAATAAATACAGAAAGGCATATGTGACTGTATGTTTTTATTTTTATTTTATATAAGTCCTTGCATCTATCATTTTCCTGTATTCATAGCTTTTTCAGGATCACAACAAAAATTATAAATTGAGGCTTAATTATAAGTTTCTTCAATTTTGTTAAAACTCATCAAACAAGTGGAAAAGAATATGAATGATGATATATTCATCATTCAACTATTACAGCTGGGTTACATTTGGGCTTTCATAAGGCTAACTAATAATAATTAAACAATATAATCTGGCCTAAAGACAAGTATTTTGGTTGCCATATTTTATTAAATTTAATAATTAGTGATATAAATTAAATTTAATCAATTAATTTAGAAGATTCTGACAGAAAAGATCTAGCAGAATTCAAACCCCTTTTATTAATTACATTATTTGGACCTCCATCCAATCTTCACTTCCAGACTAGTTTTAGTTTCAGACCACTTAACAAGTCAATTGTCATACCAACTGACTTACATTTATATATTGTCATACCAACAGACTTACATTTATAGCCCTCTATGTCTCTCAACTGATTTCAAGCTTACACCCAGTATTAATTAAAAATTCAGATTAATTTGAATATATCTATATTCCTTCTAAATCTAGAAACATAGATAAATTTAAGATAAACCTTTAAATTTTTACTTTAATGACTCAAATTAGAAGTTGAATAACAAATTAATTGCATGTTTCACAGTTAAAACCACTGGTAATTGTAGTTACAGTAAACTGTGAGTATAAATAAATTGTGGGATTACTGAAATATATTTATTATAGTAAAATTTCACTATACTGAAACAGTCAAAATACCGCAATGCTGAAAAAGTTATATAAAAAAGAAATAAAAACTGTTACATCTTGAGAACAAGGAACCTCTTAAAATTACAGTTTTTCTAATATTGTTAGTTAGGATCACAATGAAGTAGCCAGCTAGTAACAGCATGACATATGGATCAATTCATTTCATCCCAAAAAAATTTTGAGTTAACTTAGACTTGATTCCAATTCCCCAACTGGCAGTTTACATTCCCCAAACTGGCAGTTACATAACCCCAATCTTACATTAAAGATGTTAAACAATTTAAACAAACAAAGCTAAATTATATTTTGACAAAAAATAATTGTAGAGTAGAATCTCATTACAGTCATTAAAGATGATGGATTACTCTTTAGTCCATCATCTTTGTCAATAGTACTGGTTATATCCACCTTGACTATTCATCAATACATCATAATTGATTAACCAATTACATTGTCATTGTCTATTAACATATGTTAACACTTGTTTGTAACTGCTATTAACCATTTATTTTAACTAAAATTCTTCATGTATTGTTTCTTTATTGTAATGTATTTGTTATTTTTATGTAATAACAATTTAAAATTTTATTATATGAATATTTAAATTGTCTTGAAAATGAAAAGATGTAACATTAGATTTATCCAAAAAAAATTTCATATTATTCAACTAAAAAATGGTGGAAGTAAAACAAGTTTGCCAAAAAACTATGAAATTGTGAGAACCACTAAAAATGACTTAAAAAATAGTGAAAAGGACTACACTAGTAAGATGGAAGCATCTAATAAGAATATAACTGAGAGAAAAACAATGAAATTCTCTAGTAATGACCAAGTGGACCTTATATTATTTCATTGCTTTGATCAGCAAAGAAGTGAAGGAATTCCACTGACTGGACCCAGTCATCCCAGCAAAAGCTATAAAATTGAATAAGAAAATGAATGTTGATCCTGCTGTTTTAAACAAGTATGGAATGAATCAGTAGATTCAAAAACTGACATGGAGTTTGGATGCTGCATATTGAAGGGGAGAAACTAAGTGCAAACACAGCCTTAATAACAAAGTACACTTGTAAATTGTAAGAGATCATAAAAAAAATCTTAAGCAGAAACAGGATTAAGTTAGGAAACTTTGGCATCATTGAATCTTCAGCTCACTGATATAAAGTAAGAAAAAGAATTACTGTGATGGTATGTGCAAATGCAGGAGGGCCAGAACAATATCTTTAAAAATATGGATATAAATCTGTTATCTGTCAGAAAAGTGCTGGAGAGAATAATATTCAATGAGTGGTTTCCCATGATCTTTGTACCTGCTTGTTAGAAAAAAAATCTCAAAATTGAATATGACAGAGGTTTTTCTATGGATAGATAATGTTCCAACATATTCATCTGAAGATGGTAAGATAACATATACTGTATCTTTCTTCTAGCAAACATAACATCTTTGATTTTTGGATCAAGGGTAATTAAAAAGTCAAAATGGCATTCTAGCTTAACTTCATCTAAAATTTAATAATGGAAACAGATACTTATGTTCAACAGTTTTGGAGAATTTTCAATATTAAAAATGCTATTTAATGCATTACTGAATGTGGAATAAAATATCCTCTATGAATTTACAAAAGTATTAGAATAAGTTATGATCTAATGAAATCAGTATTCTACCTTCAATACATGAGTTAATTATGCAAATTTCTGGTTACGAAAATGAATTAATTAACAATGTTCTAAAAGAGTATAAAATTGTTAATGACAACAAAGAATATGAAATCTTGCAATAATAACAGTAGAAACTCATCAAGATGCTGCACAAATCCTATCCAAATGCATTGAATTGGTTTGAAAATCAAAGCAGACTCCATACAGTTTTTATTGTTGTGAAGTATAATGTAGCTTTGCTAAAGGAACAAAAAATAGCAGAAGACTAAAAAAAAAAAATTTTTTTTTAAATAGAGAATAATTATTCATTTGATTAAATTTATATGTTGAACTATGTTATTACAATCTATATGTATATATAATTACATATAAAACTGTATAATATAGTCACTTGATATAGTCACTAATCTGTTTCTTTAAGCTGTCACACCTTCAGTCCTGACATGTGATGAATTACTGAAGTTGTTCTATATTTATACAATTATTACTGTATATAATCAAGACTCCAAAAAAATTTGATGTTATAAGAACTGTAGTTCTTTCAATGAATTTAGAAGTTCCTTTTAAAGGAGTAAAAACAAAAAATTTTAACAAAAATTTTATTATTTTTATTTAAATAAAATTTTTGGTTTTAATTATTTTATCAGAACAGATCTTTCATTACAAGAACTATATTTAAGAAACATTAAAAAGCAATGAATTAATTAATTAAATGC